TGGGTCCACTCGGCACGACGGCCACTGATTAGCCTATTGTACCTGCCCCGGGTGAATATAATGATGGAGAATTTGGTGGAATGAAGATTGACAGGGGAAAACGGACTCAGAGAAAACCCGTCCCAGTGCCACCCTTTCCACCACAAATCCCACTTCACCAGACCTGGGATCGAACCCGGGCCGCCGCGGTGGGAAGCCAGCAACTAACCGCTTGAGCTACGGCGTGTGCTTAATTAGTTAACTACATATATCGACGAATGAGGCGAACAGATGAGTAACTTAATTTCCCGTCGCTCTGGGAGCAGTTCCTCTAGAAAGAGACATTGACATAAATGTCTCAGAAATGCAACTACATAAAGTACATACTCGTACACTCGCAGATATTTAAGTTTTTATTTAAACGCTGCGGGCCGTGCGTTCTGATGCTTAGAGGTTAGCTCTTTTCCAACGATGCACGTTGCTGACAATTTGTAAAAAGGCAGTGCACTCTGAACAAAAAAACAAACGAGGCGCGAGAGTGTTGGAACCGAACAATGGAGAAGGGAAATCAATGTGATCAGCTTCAATTTGTCAAAGTTTGGATTCAACCCTAGCACAAAATTTGTAGCTTCAGTTCATTCTCTTGTGAGTAAGGAGCAGCAGCCGCGGTAGTCATGCATATTTATTTCCGATGGACTAGGAATTTTATTATCGATGTCCTCTCAAAATTTCTTCTTTCGGGCGAATAAGGAGGAGCGGAATAACATGTAAGGTTTTGGTCTGAATAAATTTATACATAACTTCCAAAATGTCGAAAAATAAAATTAATTCTAAAATATAGGATGATTTTAATTGTCCTGGTTTCCGTGGCATATCATTTTCGAACCATGCGTGACAAGAAAAGTGCGCTGTTGAAGTTGTTTAGCATTCTGCAGTATTGATTCTATAATCAATAAAACGTTTTGAGTTACACTTTCATATTCCACAAGCGTTTTTGTTTTGTTCTTTCCGATTTAAAAAATTACAGGCCAAGGGAAACTCCGACAATAATTTAGAATAACTCTGTACAAATTGGTATGAGATGAGTCTCAAATAGGCTACTAAGAAATGGACAAAATGATTATGAAAACCAAGAGCCAGAACAGACCAAGAGATTTAATCTGTGACGCGAAAGGATAGCAAGAACGACTTTTCTTAACTTATTTCAATTCAAGTCATTATTATCTTACATCACATGCGCCTACGTGTACCACAAGTTCAAGTACTGCGTTTTAAATGTTGGACCGATTCTGCATGTAGCCTCATCCTAACAATCCTAACGATACTGGTGAGGATCATGTAGCCCATCATTCTGTAACATTCTGAGTCCTGGTGGTCTCCTTGCGGAGGTTGTACGAGACCCTTTGTGTTCTGCAACCCGGGCCACAGCGATTGCCCATTGCTTCTAGTCCGAGGGATGTCTTACGTTCATTTCCGCTATGTTGCATCCCTGACAGGTCACGGATCATCACTCACCGCATTGTGGTGATAATGAAGTCCTGGGAAAGAAGAACGTACAACTTTTACATTGCAGTCACTTGTCTGCTATAGCCACTTATCAGCCGTAGCCCTCCGACAGACATGACTCGAGACTGGAACACACAAAAACTGTACAGTTCGTGTATGGCCATAATGATAGGGAATATACTGCCACAGTCAATAAGTTCGTCGAATGGCTGCAAAGCGCCGTACGGGAATTTACTGCCAATATGTTTCACCAATGTTTTCGACAGCTATATCAACGTTGGCAGACTTGCGTAGCGGCCAGCGGCAACTATTTTGAGGGCCGATGCGGATCTGCTTACGTTTATGTGAATACCTTGTAATACGATGCGATGAAACCACATTCCGCGAACTTAATGACTACCACGTAAGTAATAATATTATTATGCTATTCCTTCTGCCTATCTTGAATGCACATTTTGTATGTTCGTGAAGCCGCTCTTGAAAACTGACAGCTTCTGCGCGACATATGTTATTAACAACTGTTGATGCGTAAGGAAGGCCGCCTCTATGGTCTAGTGGTCAGAGTTCCTGGCTACAGATCCAGAGGTACCGCGTTCAGTTCCCGGTGCTACCAGATTTTCTGAGAAGTAGTGGGTCTGGAACGGGGTCCACTCAACCTCGTGAGAATATAGCGGCTCCGGTTTAGAAATCCGAAATTAACGGCTGTGGGGATCCGTTGCGCTGACCACGCGACACCCTCTATCCGCAGAAGTTGGCACTAACTTCGCCGACAAGCTGCGGTCGCTCGGTTAGTATAGTTCGCTTGATGGCTACAGGCCACGGAGTTAATTAATTTTCTGCGTAACACTAACGCTGCGAAACAAAATGAGTGCCAACTGGCGCAGTATGTCTGTACTGCCATAACTTGTGGAAATTATGTATGTAGCATGTCTGGAGCTGGGTTGAATTGTCTTGTGAGGGGGTAAGTTCTGACAGCCTCCCCTCTCCCTCCATTTTCAAATAGCTCATGAAGCTACTTCCCTTCTACCGAATCCATAAAAGTAATGATAGGATAATTTACAAATTAATAACGCATTGCTTATGCACACTTCCCCGTTAAAAGTAAATCCACGTTATAAAGTTACTGCACGTAAAGCAGTTAAGGTCTGATCATGAAAGAACGCCTGATTTTTAATTTTATTCCGTAAATGGTGTTAGTTAAGATCCGTGTTTACAGAGGCATCAAAAGTTATACCGGCCTACTCAAGTTCTTGGTGAAATTGTTCCTTTGCCCGTGTTGTATTTAAAGAAACTCATGATAATGTTCTGGTTTTCTTCGTCACTAACACCAGGAAGCAAGATCCCTCATCTAGTGAAGAAATTATCCACATTTTATGGAACCAGAAGGTTCGTTGCCGTTCTCACAAAAGCCTATATCTTGTCCTGATACAATTCAGCCCATTAGGCCTGTACACTTCAGGACAAAATTTTTAGATCAGTTTAATATAATCCATATGTGATCACTGTTGTTAGAAACATTTTTCGCTCCAGGAAACATTTAACTAGGTACAAGTCTGAATATACATGTAAAACCCGTTACTGTTGACTCCTTTTGACCAAAATTGGAAAATGTTGACAAATTTTGGTACAAACTTCCTATATGATATTCTAGGGTTACATGCAGACGGGCGGACGGATGGTGGACAGGCAAACAGACATGGAAAAGCTAATCGTCTAATTTTTGCATAGGGGGGGGGGGGGCTACCAGAGTGTTTACTAAGGAAATATAGGTTTGCTTGAAAAAAAAATAACTGCTTTGTTAAGCTGGATATTCCTGTCATCATTAACATTTATAACCCGTCATCTTATTGCAGAAACTTCAACAAAATCCACACCTCACCTTAGGATAATTCCAAGTATTATTAATGATGTCTCCCCCTTGAGCTCTCTCAACTCGAAACGGCATTTAAACAGAGGCGAGGTCCTTTGACCAGCAGTTTGAATCTTTATGTAGAGTGGACGATTTAATATTTCTCAAATATGCACGGGTTCATGCTAAGGAATTTCCCAAAAATAATTTGTATCCCGCATACGAAAGAACAGGGCTTTGTTTGGGATTGTTGTATCGAGACAGCGCAGAACTCATAAAGGACACAAATTATTTAGTTCTACTAACGGCATCGTAATACATGTGACATAGGACCCAAAATCACGAAAGAATGAAAAAATTCATCAGCTTTCTGTAAGATGAAAATTACACGTGTCAGTGACTTACGTATGCAGAGCAATGTCTTTACGGACAATATTCATGTAGTAAGTCCTATAACAAAACTGCCTTTTGGACGGAGCAGTAATATCAATATGAAAGAAGGCAGGTCTGCAAGAAGACAAGAAAAAATGGGGTTGTGTATGAAATATTTAATTCTGTTTCTTGCTTACATGGGAACTTGTTGTAAATTAAAGATTCAACTGCACTGCATTCGACGTCGTCTCCTTAACGTCATTTTAAATTGACGTACAGAAATTCACGTGTAAAAGCGACGTCACGAAATCTGAACCGCCCTTCAGTTTGTCGAATTTATTTCTAACAGACATGTAACGTACTGTGTAAGATTTGAGGTTTTCACGGCGGTGACTATGAAGAAAGCAGTCTTCTGGGATGTGGCACCTTGTAGATCTAGTGTAACCCGACGTTTCGGAGGAAAGTATCGTTTCCATGTTCAGGGTAGAAAAATATGCGATCGAGGAACCAGCGTGTTCAATGATCTTCAATGATCTATTGTGCTTCCCCCTTTTTGATTAACCCTATGTTTATGGGGGCGCCATAATAGTCGCTTGGTTGCATAAAGAACTGGCCCAGATGACAAAATTTTAAATAATGTATGGCCTCACATTCACATAGGATGTATGTGTGGCTGATTCATCTTTTTCCAGGCACCGTTCACGAGTGAGGTCGTCTGTCAGACCTAATTCGAAAAGGTGTCCTTTTAGGTGACAGTCGTACCACCCAGTAAATATGCATATTTAGTTGTACGAAAATATATATAAATTACAAATAATTTATGTAAGAAGTTAGAAATATGAAAACGGACTTAGTCTGTGTAGGCTGTTTATAGAAAATTTTACACAGAAGGAACCAGTACTGAGTAGCCGTAATTCCGCTCATACACAGTTCAGCATCGTGAAATTGCAGCCGTACTTATGCATGTATCACTTCCCTCAGGTATCACAATTACACTGAAACATTTAAAAGAAAGGTACAGTCACAGTTTTTTATTTCTATTCCTTTCGCTGCTTACTATTTTCTCACTATTTTCCTAAAATAATGAAGTTTAAGTTAAAAATAAAAAAAAAAAGAACACGCAACAACAAAGTATTTTCATAGCCCAGTAAATGAAGTCGAATAACGCAGCGAAAGGAGATGAGTATTTCTTGATGTCGACTAAAGTCGAACGGATATTTGTTCGACTCTAAGTCGAATATCACAGCAGCAGCAGCAGAGTGGGGGATATCCTGACCGCAATTCCCTGTTTCAGCTACGGCGCCGGCTACGATCTCGCGGCGCGGAGGAAGAACGCCACGCGCGAGTCGACGGCGACGCTGAAAGCGTGGCTCAACGAACACAAGAAGAACCCGTACCCCACCAAGGGCGAGAAGATCATGCTAGCCATCATCACCAAGATGACGCTGACGCAAGTGTCCACGTGGTTTGCCAACGCCCGGCGTCGCCTCAAGAAAGAGAACAAGATGACGTGGGAGCCTAAGAACAAGACGGATGACGACGATGATGCTGTAGTGTCCGACAGCGATGAAAAGGATAAGGACGACCTCTTGATGGACAGCGACAAGCTAAAAGATTCCAGGAATCGTGACGATAAAGGTCAGTAAATTTCCTTGTGCAGGGGTGGCCAAACTATGCGGCTTATTCGTCAGGGGTCTCAGGCATGCGTAATCGGAAGACGAGTGTAAATCCCAATTCAAAATGTTTTAAAACCAAAGTTTTGTATCCCCTTTATCAAACCTAATCGCGACAGATCTAACAAGCGAAATGTGTCAGTGTACGCGCACTGAGTTTCATACTGTTTTTGTCACTTTCTGCTGTAAGACAAAATGATATTGGCCTCGGCATTAGCACTTTCAGTTGTTTACGTAATCACTGCAGACCTGAGGAAGGAAGCAGGCCTGTAGATAATTACAGAATAACAAAAGTGTCCTGAATTGAAAAATAAAGAGCGAAATTCGAAGTGCTATATGTTAATGACTTGTAAATAGATTGCAACATAGAATTATGACGTAGTGTAACAAACAGCCAGAAGAATATGGCAAAACCCAGTAGGAAAGGGAACGACTATGAAGGTAGCAGAATTATTCTTGATGAGTTGAAGAACGGATTGAATTCGAGGAATCTCAGCTGCCATTCAGCTAAGAACTCTAACTTTATGTGATGTTTAATGCGCCTAATTGTGCCTAATTTGATGGCTGACAGTAATGAAAGAACAGAGAATGAGGTTGTTCGAGAAAAAGTGCGGATGAGAATAATTGCGCNCCGTTCTGCGGTGGTATGACTCACGGGAAATTGCAGCCGCGGCGCGCACTTGATTGTACGCACTGTATTATGGCATTATGCTGATCCAATCAGAGAGGAAAAGTGAGATATGTAGCACGCATGTAGATATAATATGCGGCAAAAAAATGAAAGTTTCCCCAGAACTTAAGCACCACACCGTGAGGACACAGTAGGGAAGTCGGGGTAATACTGTATACACAGTTGTATTGTAAATTGGATCTAGACGTAGGTAGGAGAAGAATATAAGAACAGACGTCCATGAAAAGCTTGTGAGGGTATGTAGACCGAATTCATGGCGATGAACACATGGACTGTACAAATAACGTTAATTCCTTCCTCAGCCATCTGAGCAATTTTCTGTTTCCCAAGATATTTTTTTGGTTTCCGTGGAGTTACCTCGTTGATTAGTTCATAGGAGGTGTAATTTTTGTAGACGTGGCCTCTTCTGTTTTGGACTTCTCTGTATACATATATGTTATCACTTAAGCAAAGGGCACTGAAATTTTCCTTTTTTTTTTTTTTTTCGAAATAAAATCCCTGTTATATTGCATGCAGTAACTGCGCTGTGTGCTCATGGCGTGTCAAGTGTATCGAGCTACCCCAAACTTGTAATCTTTCTCTCTCGCTCCCACTGTGGAGCATTCGGCTGATTTCTCGCTTTCATGATCATTTTTACAGACGTTAGGACTCCTTGAATGGGTGATCAGCTCATCGCAAGGCCTCTACCTAAACACAGAATAAGCGCATACATATACTAAACACCCATGCCTTGTGTGGGAATCGAACCCACGATCACGGCTTCCGAGTAAATGCCTTAGATCGCTCGGCTACCGTGACCGGCTTGTAAATTTTAGCTGCGCAATATTTATGTATCGGTGATGCCAAGAGACACAGATCAATATTCAGTTATCGTTGTTCTCAGTTCTTGAAAATGTGTTGTGATGAATTCGGGTAAGCGCAACTACTGCATAAGCCTGAACGCCCTCAAGCTCTTACCGTTTTTAACACACGTCACTGAGGCAGTTCGTTAGCCGAGTTGCACGTCATCTACAAGGTCCCCCTTGCCAGACAGTTCAAAGTAAATGGAATATAGCTCAAGTGGTTAGTCACTGGCTTTCCACCGCGGCGGTCCGGGCTCAAGTGGGATTTGTGGTGGACAAATGGCGCTGGGGCGGGTTTCCTCCAAGTACTTCGGTTTCCCCTGCCAATCTTTATTCCACCAAATTCTCCATCATCATAATCACCCGGGGCAGGTACAATAGGCCAATCAGTGGCCCATGTGCCGAGTGGACTCAGCCGGACTCCACTCCCCACTAGCGAAATAATAATAATAAAAAAAATGAAATATTCCCAACCAACGCCAAAGGTAATTGGAGCAGCTTCTTCGCATTTTTTTTCTCCTGCGACTTGTTCTTCCTTGAATTCGCTCTAATCAGCACATTTTTGTCAGATGCATTTTAAACGTTTATCATATTGGTATTAACAACAATGTAAGGTTCGAACTGAAAGATACCAAGGTTAGTAGTTAATATCTAGGTATGATTTCATAAGTAAGATAGATTTCATGAATCAATTCTTACATGTTACTTCCGCAGGATATGTTTTGTGCGACTCTATATATAAAGTCATGTTTGGCCACCCCTGAATTATATAAATGAGGTGGAATTTGAATATCTATCAAATAGTCCAATCTGTAATGATCATACAAATTATGAAGGGGGACATTTCCGTAGACAAAACAGAAATGTTTTAGGCCTATAAAAATATTGAATTTTAATTCCGAATTACAAATTGAAAGATTTAAATCTGAAATATTCCCGTTCTATTTATAGGATTCTTTCTGACGCTGTAGATCATCTACAACCTACTCAGAGTGATGTTCCTATTGGGCGTAGTGCTTTCAAGAATCATCAACAGTATTATGATGTGAAAGAAAAAAACAGTTGAAAATAGTGACAACGCCTGTTAAAATATTTTGGTTGTACCTCGAAGTTGATTTTCTTACTGACGCCATTATGCATGGAAACATACATTTTTATTACATCTGGAGAAGATGAAGTATTTCTAACAACCTGTTAATTGAGGTTGATGCTAGTGATAATATAGGTCAATGTGTTATAGTTTTTAAACTTTTGCTACAAAACATAGCATTAATTGCTGAACTCTCAGTATTAGTGAAGGCAGTGATGGGGAAGCATCATGGCTGTACCGGGTGGACAGTTTGTCTCTTGACGTGCTCTGAGCCAGGGCCGCGCGTCTGCGCAACAGAGCCCAGAAACCAGAGACCCTGCATAAAATCCAATTGACTCGATATACGAGTTAGTTCAGATTTTATTTTTATTGATACGAACAGAAGTGGAGTTTTGTTAATGTTTATACTCGCTTCCTTCTGTCAATTGTTTTAAATCAAGAATCGAATGAAAGTTCGCCAAGTTTCGTAACGTCAGTGTGTTTCGGTGCTAGGTTCCTCTCATTCTCCCAAAAGGAGTATGGATAAGTCGAGATACGAGTAGTTCCGTGCTGAAGTATGTAGCTGTCCATGTTTCTGAGCTCCAGTGACGCTTTAATTGTGAATGCTAAGTTATGTAACATATTTGCAAAAGAATGTAGTCTTCTGGGATGTGGCGCCGTGTAGACGTTTCGGAGGAACGTATCGGCTCCATCTTCAAGGTATAAAAATCCGCGATCGAGGAACCAGCTTGAGCGGGTGGCTGCAGTCTGAGTTGCAGGTTACGGATGCTAGGTCATCGGTAACTTCGATCTGCATGAACTTCTTTATCGCTGGTTACTTTCTTGACATACTTAATTGGTCAAGAAAAATGTATAACCCACCGGAAGCTACGTGTTTTGGAGTATGTGACTTGGAAGTTAATTTTGAGTTTAATTTCAATTAACAAGAAAAGTGAATAAAAGTATTTTTCCGCTGGTATATGAAATCAGTCCAGAAATTATTTGCGATCTAGAGAGGAAATTCTCTTCCGTAGAACTGAATGGATCAGACCAAGTTCACGGCAGGGCTGTGTGATGTGCTTACATCTGTTCACACGAATTGTTGATCTTTAACGGTTGGTTGCTTACAAGAGTAAGGAAAACTTGACGGGGTCAGCTTAATACTCAGGATTAATGACATTTATTTCGAAGAAAACTAAAATAAAATGTGTTTAAAATTCAAATCATGGCGATAGGATACGAGCAACATTGATTCTAGTATCGATTTGGTTTGGGCGAAGAATAAACTACGCGGATTATGAGAGCAATTTAAAAAAAGAAGGGAAAAGTAAAGCGTTTCGGAGTCTCGGAAACACTGACAGAAATGAAGCCTGATGAAACTTGACAGTGGATCTCAAGTTACCAGAGATTCACTTGCGTAACCCCATGACGTTTTTGTTCTTTTAATTTTGCTTTTCTTCAGTGTGTAAAGCGTTGTTACGTATGAAAAATAATTACTTCCAACAAACTACAAATCCTACAAGAATGGCATTAGCAATCACTGGAAACTAAATGTTTTAATTTAAATTATACTGGACTTCAATTTAGCTTGAAAATCTTGACAGCGTTCGAGTGGCACAGAAATTCGTCTCCAGGTTTTATATTTGATATGTCAGCTCATCGGGCCCAGGCAGTCGGCGGTGGGCACGTATGTCTTCTTTAACATAACCCCATACAGAAACGTTCCAAGCTGTTGGGTCCGGAGATCCGGGGGGCCAGTCTATCTTACCAACAGCGTGTAAGCCCAATCCACCACTACACTGTCTACTTGAATTAAGTCACTTGCCCGTTTCATTTTTGTAGTTGTTTCAGTTGATACGGTCTATTTAAATAAATTTTTGTGTTACAGTTACATTGTTTAAAATAAAAAGTTATAAACTAAGAACTTGATTTGTAACAACTACCTTTTTTCGTTATGTTATTTATATGACACACAGATTCCATTAGATTATTTTTGTTTTGTTTTTGCTATAATTTGATTTTGTTTATAATTTTGTTTCTTGTGATCATTCGGATTTTGTNCTATGTTCGCAGCGTGAGCTCACTTCGTCTGTCTCTTTCCCACTTATCTCGCGACCAATCCATAGCAAGAAAAGGAAGACTAATGATAGGTATGGAAAGTGAGCCAAAAAAAAAAAGGCCAAGTCACTGTTTTAGCTCCCCCTTTCGTCTCTAACCCTCCCTTTAACCAACAGTTTTATCCGTCTCTCTCGGCTCTACTCGGCAACATTGGGAAGCTAACATAAAACATGGCTATTTTCTCTTTTTGTTCGGACTGCATGGTGCATGCGCTCTGAGTATTTCTACCCCCCTCCCTTCCCCCA